GTTGCTTTTCCTTCTTGCTCTTTGTCCCACCAGATGTGGACAGATGTGGGTACATGGGTGTGTATTTGCTGCTGCTGGTGTTTCCACTCTCCTGCTCATATTTTGGGGTGTGTGTACGCTCCTCTGTGGTAGCTGTGGCTTGTGCGATGTGGATTTGTTCTATCAGATTTGGCTGGAGGGGCGAGGGTTTCTGAGTTATTTAAAAATTGCTTTTCCCACTACCCCTCTCCCCAGGTTCTTAATTTTTTTTAAAAAACAAGTGTCCCTGGTGATTGTAAAGTGCAGCCAGAGCTGAGCAGTTAGCAGCTCTGAATCCTTGCTCTACTTCCATCACGTGCTGGCCTGGTCGCGTTTTCAAGTCACTTAAATGCTTTGAACTTCAACTTCCTTATCAATAAAATGATCCCAATTTTATCTGTACCGCCTTCCTCATAGAGTTGATGTGTCGTCAGGATTCAAATATGCGGAAGTTCTTTGACAACGTAAAATTCAGTACAGTGTGTGTATCAAATGAACACTGACAGCAGCAGCCACCGAGCCTTGACCCACACGACGTGCTGTGGGGACAGTGCAGAGGCGAGGGCAGTCCTTACATTTCCGACGAAGCAAACCCGAGCTCTTGCATTACTTTGAGACACTGTTTCTCTTTGTCCAGAAGGTGTGCTGTGGGCCAGGAGGAGGGGCTGGAGGCACGCCTGCTGGGTTCTGGTTCAGCCAGCGCTGCTCCTGTCTTTCTGTGTTTCCATGTGTCCTTCCACCGATGACAGCACATGTAAAAGAGTTCATCAGCAACAATGACAAATTGGTTTAGAAATATCCTGAATTTGGCGATCCCTAACTTCAGCACATGCTAGAAAGCAAATTTGCTTTCCCCTTCAGTGTGTTTTCTTTCTTTTTTTTTTTTTTTATCCTCACCCAGCACATTTTTCCATTTTTTTGTTCAGGTAGAGTGGGAGGGAGAGAGGGGAACACACAGAGAGAGAGAAACATGATGTGAAAGGAACACATCGAGTGGCTGCCACCCGCACGACCGACCAGGGCCGGGGACAAACTGCAACCAAGGTACATGCCCTTAGCGGGAACCGAACCCCGGTCTCTCAGGACCGCAGGTCGATGCTCTAACGGCTGAGCCAAACCGGCCAGGGCCCCTTCAGTGTGTTTTCTATTGAATACAATACATGTAGCTCACTGGATGCTCCCCCCCACAATAGACTGAGCCCCAGCAGACCCGCAGTGCATGCTTATAATACTAACCTGAACTTTGTGTGTGGCCGGGCCTGGCGGCAGAGAGTACTTTGATGCTGAAGAGGACGGGAACTTTCTTACCTTACCAATTCCTGGTATCCTGATAGTTTCAGGCACATTCTGGACATAGTTAAGTTTTAATTTTCCATCGGTTGACCTTTCTTTCTGCTCCTCTCCAGCACCCTCATGCCCCTGTCCTTCTGGGCTCTGGCGACTTCAGGTTATACCTTTGGACCATTTCAGTTGAGGGCAGAACAAAGGTTTGGGCTTCTAACGTGATTTACTGACCTCCCCTGGCCCCAAACCATAGTCCCCTTTCCACAAAGCAGCTGATCTTTGTCAGCCAGTAGAAAAGTGATATAATTAAACCAATTCACACTATTGAGTGACTGATGGTCCATAACCATTCCACCGCTATTAATATTTTAAAGGGGGATGTTTGAATTGCTAATTAAAGAATTTTAAACACTGTTGCTAAAAGTGGGGGGAGGAGGTACAAACTGTCAGGCCATATCAGGGATGTATTTTCCACAGAGGCACTAACGAGTGGGTCCCTGTGTCGGGACCACTGCAAAGCACACACGCTGTGCTCCGCGTAGAAGGTGCCCCCGGAGCCGCGTCATGAGTGGCCCTGACCAGGGCATCTCTACTACACCCCGTCTTGCTTTTTCCCACATTGCACCTCATAGATTTATTCAAAGCATTAAGTTGCACAGTATCTCCTCAGACCTTAGAGTAGATCACATGTAAATATAAGTTCTTTTACAAGTCAGATGTTTTGAATTGGGGGCCGTGTTGCTTGAACTCTCGAGCAAAGCAAAGATTGCCAGTTGCCTAACCCCGACATCCACTCTCTCCTAACTCCCTAGTGAAGGGAACTCTGGTATGTTCGGGGTGGCGGTGTGTGCAGCCAGACATGCACATTCCCAGCATTTCTGGTAGTTCGATGGCAGTCACCTGTCTAAGGTCTGGCCACTGGGATTTAAGCAAAAGTTTTGGGTGAGTTCTCCAGAAACACACTGTACAGAGGAGGGGATGCCTTCTTTGTCTTGGCTCCCTCTCTTCTGCCTACTGGCTGGAACTTAGACCTGCTTGCTGAGATAGAAGAGCCACCCCGATGAGGCAGAGAGGTAAGAGCCAGGGTCCTTGGAGGCAATGTGAAGGCAAAGGCCTGGGGTGTGGTGAAAACTGGGTGAAGGGAGCAATGGAGGAAAACAAGGGGAGGGGAACATCTGTACTACTCTCAATAAAGATTAAGAAATAAGGAACCAGAAAAAAATACCAACTCTGATCTACCCTGATGTGTACAGCATTTACTTAAGAGAGATTCTTCTGTCTTGGTTAATTCTCTATTTTCCAAGTTGCCCATCACTCACAGCCAAACCTACTACAGTTACAAGCCCCCGACTCACAATTAATCAGTCAGGGAACTATTCCCATGTCATTTGTTGTTCAAACGACTTAAATTCTGTCTTCAAATGTATAAAGTTTCATTTTTAAAAATGTATTCTACCAAGACTAAGAAGGTGTATATGAACAGTCTGTGGTAAAAGAAAAGCAGTTGGGAAAATAGACTAGAGTAACTAAGTGACCCCAAAGAACAAGAATTCTGGGGACAGTCTCTTGGGGGAGAGCACAGCCAATGTAGTGATAAGCAAGCTCAAAGATCTCTGAGGTTTCATTTGTTCTTTTGGGTTTATTTTTTTAAAGTGATGCGTTGGGGTAATTATATTGTCTTCAAACACATCTCACAATTTGGACTAGGAAGTAGAGAAAGCTCACAATGAATTAAGTTAATGATAAGTTTTAACATATAATTCACCATCAAATGATTATGGGACTCCCAATTTTTAAAATTATTTATTGCTGATGATTCTCTAACTTTTAATGGTTTTCAAAGTGTAGTGTGTATAGAAATATAGCCTAAGGAACTTGTTTCACTGGCTCTAATTGGCTGTTTGGGACGAGACCCTGGAGTCATAATTTTACTAAATACTGGAGGTGATTTTGTGGGGGTTAATCCACACAGCACCAGGCCCTCTGCCTCCATCCCACACTCATCCACCTGAAGGTGGCCTTCTGGATCTGGGGAACACAACCTACTGACTTGCCCCGTAGGGCAGGGTCCCCACATGAGCAACAGAAACGTCATCAGGGAGCTTATTAGAAACATAGACTCTCAGCCCCATCCCAGACCCACTGAGTCAGAATCTGCATTTTTAGTGAGATCCTGAGGTTGGGGGTGGCAGTGGGGTGATTCCCAAGCACATTAGAGTTTGAGGAGCTCTGTTCTCCTGAAAGTTAATCAGCCTCCATAGCAGGGGCATTGAGGGGGGGGGGCATTGAAAAGTAACTTTATTAAAATTTAGGACAGCTCTTTCATACAGAGTTTGACATAACATGGCTGCAAATACCCAGCATGCACAGCAGGTCACTGAGCTCCTGGGATGGCACACCCTTGCGGATGCTCAGCGCTGTGGCAGCACCTGGGCTGTGCACAATGGGCCACCTGCCCGCAGGTGCTACCGGCTGGCCTGTGTCCACCTTCCAGAACCGGGGCATTACTGATCCTGAGAGACAGTTGAGAGCGTTTCCTGCGACACTGATAACAGACTTTACTACAGTCTAGAAAGGCTAAGAAACATTGGGGAATTTAAAATGTAAAAATGAAAAGTATAGTATTTGTCCAGATAAACTGTGCTGGAAAAGGAAAAGTTTTATTTGCAATTTACACAATTTCATTTAAAAAGCACCATTCAGAGTCTAACACCAGGTAGGTCAAACATTCTGTTGTGTGAAGAAACTGGTTATGTACCTGTTTTAAAATAATTCAGACGTGTAATTAAATGTACTAACTTTGATAAAATATTTCTTCAGATGACAGTTAGTAAACAGAAAAGTTAATGTAATTTAAACCCATTTTAGTAAATATGCAGATATATTTTATTTGTCAAGAGTAAATGTCAGCTTTATTTAGAATATTTCAGTACAAAAATTAAAAAATTATATACCTATGACTGTTAAGAAAAAGTTAATTGTTCTGAGAATACTACAAGGCACGGATATGAATGATCTAAATTTTTATATCTTTAATATTCAGATGTTCATAGCTATTTTCTTAAGAAATATTTTTAGTAATTTGATCTTATTTTTTCCCCTTGAAGATGGAATTCTGAGCAACAAATATGTAATACATCCTAATAAGAATACTGCGATAATACCCAGATTCATCACTAGATACCCAGATAAATACCCAGTATTTATCACTAGAAAAAGGGTTTCTATGCCGGGATGTTTTTACTTTTAAACATATATTTTTTCATCACAATAACACATCAACCACAAGAAGGTGTACTGAAGCCCGGAAGGCCATCGCGTTACATAAAATTTGATACAAAAGCTTAGGATCATGTGACCAACTGGATAAGTATATCAAAAATTAAAAAGTTTTAAAAAATATTGAGAGGTTTGTTTCAGGTACCTAATACATTTTGAAATCTATTCCCCAAATGTTACCTTTAGTATGTACAACACAGAAGGTTCAATCTCCGACTATAAATGCAATCGGACAGCATCACGGGAACGAGCCTGGACTCTCTAGGCAGGGGCACTGACGGGGGCACAGCTCTGCAAAGTGACAGTGGATCGGCAGCAGGGGCATGATCTGGACTCGTCACAAACCAGGGGCTTCAAACCTAACAATAGTGGATATGTAAGTTCTATCATCCGCTCTGGCTTACGTACTGACCTTCCACTTAAAAGTATTTTCCATAAGTGGCAGTAACTGTGGCCATTGGCCACCCACAGAATAAGTGATCACAGCAAATAACAAGAGCAAGAAAAGCACAGCATACTTCTAACATTTTAATAGCTTTTGCCTGTGATGACCTTCTGTGATCTGGACCTTCTGTTTTACGAGAAACTGGAGTTCTTACAGTCCCTGCCCTTCCTCAGGTTGCAGCCTGTGGTCGTAAAGATCTGGTTCTGGTAGATTTCAGAGGTCGCTTTCTTTTTAGAGAAAGAGATGATTTCTTCTTCCAGAAGTCTTCTCTTCTCTTCGAGCTTCATTCTCTCTTCATGGTGAACCCTTTTGAGGTGCTCGAATTTGGCCTGTAGCTCCCTTTCGGCTTCTTTCAGCATGGCATCTCTCTCCTTCACCCGCTGCAGAAACATTTGCTTCATCTCTTCCTCCTTCCTCTGATGATCCCCACGAATTGTTTGTCTTTTGGCTCTGTAGGTCTCTTGAAGACTGGAGGGCGTAGTCTCGGGGCCCCCGTCAGTGAAGCCCATCTCCTCCAGCTTGCAGCGCCTGTACAGCTCGTAGTGCCTGGCATGGGTCTGCTCTCGCAGGTCCTCCATGTTCGTGCAAATGAGCATTTCCCGGAGCTTCACAAAGTCACAGTGGTTCTCATTCTCCACCTGCACAACTCCCCAAGGGTACTGGCGAGCTTTGGCCATCTTATCTCCAACCTTGACCTCATCCGTACTTCCTACAACAGCGAATGGCAAATGTCCATTCATGGAAGCATTGATTTTAGCAACAGTTTCATCATCTGTGGGGAAATGATATATCTGGATGCCATTGCTGACCAATTCACTCATGAGCTTGGTCTTAAACTTGTGCAATTCGGTTTTGGAAATTGCATCTGCTTTGGCGATCACTGGGATAATGTTCACCTTGTTGTCGAGGCTCTTCATGGTTAAGAGATCGAGAGTCTTCAGAGAGTGGCCTGTTGGTGAGATGAAATAGAGGCACACATGGATGCGGGAATCGTGGTAGTTAAACAGAGAACGCTTAATCTTCAGTTCTTCTTGGAGATAGGCCTCAAACTGTGCATCGATGTAGTCAACTATGGGTTGGTAGTTCTCTTCTCTGTTTATTTGGTCACCAAATCCTACTGTATTTACAATGGTCAATTTCAAGCGAATATTACATTCCTGGAGTTCATATGTCTGAGCTTTAAGTCTAACATGCGGACAAAAGTGTGAGGATTCCTGGTCTTCAAAATTAGTATTAAACAATGTATCAATTAGCGTTGATTTTCCAATTCCAGTCTCCCCAACACAGAGAACATTAAAGCAGAAGCCTTGGTTAATGGATCTGTTGACCAGTTGATCAGGCAAACTCTCAAAACCAACATGGCCACACATAGGTAAACAACGAACCTTTTCTCTTTTCTGCTCAAACTCTGGAACTTGAGCCGCAGCACCCCAACACTCAGCACTGGCTTGAGGACCTGCCAGTTCACTGGCGACACAGGGCTGTCTACCGTGTTTGTGCAGGTTGCTGTGCGCACCGTCCACCATAGCTGACCGAAGGGGAGACTTGGACACAGGAGGCAAAGGGACGTTTTTGCCGCAGGATTCCCCCTTTTTGGGGAACTCTGATGTGTCAGTGGACAAGAGCACACTTTGGCATGGAGAAGAGAAGGCCACGCGGTGGTCTCTGTTCATCGTCAGTCACTTAGGAGGCCACGCACGATTTCGTTCCCGTGTGAGATGGAGAGTCAGTAGGTTCCGCTCCTGCTCAGAGGTTATGGGCCGGGCGGGAGGTGAGCGAGGCGGTCCGAGGGCCGTGGAGCAGGCGTCCCGGCGGAGGGAGCCAGGGGAGCGGGGGTAACAGTGGTTCTTAACCAATAGACCGTCTCCACGCCCTCGAAGGAGCTCTGAAAATTCTGAAAATTAACCCTCTGCCACGTCAGACCCACTGACCCTTCCGCAACACAGGGGCACGTCATGGCTTCTGAGAAAGATCCCAAGGCGACTGGGATGCACACCCCTGGTGCAAAACAATGGCTCTGCGGGGCTCGCCTGGCAACCCCGAACCTTTGGGATGACAAAGATCACACCAGAGACGTTCAGATCTCGGTTTTGCTTTGCGGTGTGGCAGCCTGCAGCTCGGAGCAGGCGCCTTTATTACCTCAAGCAGCCTTTGTTCTTTTTAGCTTCCCTGAGCTTGTTACACAGGGAGAACTCAGAGACGTCAGGGAGTTTTCATCTCTGTCCTGTGCCCTCGGGGGACAGCTGATTTATTCCCAGGTTCTCCTGCCTTTTTAATTTTCTTTTCTTTTCTTTTCTTTTTAAGTTGAAGGCTGTACCGGTGTAGGTCAGCAGATTCATAATTCACTCTGAGACTGGGGAAAGGACTCTGAGCTCCTCATTTTCTTCAGGAATTGAGCAGTAGTTTGTTAAAACTCCAGAGCTGTCAGCCCTCCTTGTAACGGTGGTCCCCATAAATATGAAGAAATAATGAAACTTTATTAAAGGACAATCCAGGCATGAATCTTATTTCATCTAATGGCTCTTGTATTAAAGTAACTTTTGAGATACGTGGACGTAATTTTTTAGCTCAGTCATTTGTGGGGTAGACAGTTCACTGAAGGTGTTTTAGTTTATAACTGATAAGGGCTATAAATTATGGCCCTGGTACAGACTGTCCTTAAGGACATACTGATAGAACCTTTTTAGGTGGGATCTGAATCAACTGAGAACAATCAGATCTTTGCTTGGTGGTCCGTGGCCAGTCACTTGCTACTACTCTTCCCGAATCTAGGAAGAAATAAAGGAAGCTAGGACTCATTGCTTGAGGACATATTTCTGGTGGCTGAATTCTTCAGGGATTTCTCTAGCTTGCTTTGTGTTCAGTTCAAACACGGATCCAGCAGCAGGCTCTGAGTTTCCCTCCTTCTGGCCTGTCAATCAACATGTGAATATAGGATCAGTCACAAGAACCGTGGGATGAGGTTTTTCCTCTGGTATGTGAATTCAGCACCTTGGAGAAGGCCTGCCTCCCTTCCGAGGGCACAGTGGTGTCAGGCAGAATTCCAGTTGCCCAAGCTCTGTTCTGCGTTTTGAAGTGGGACCATGCTTAAGTGAAATTGCAGCTTTTCGTGATAAAGCATTTTTGGGTCAGGGATGCTGTTTCTATATCTTTTAAGTAATTCCTGCTTTTCCTTACCCTGTTCTCTCCTGTCACTTTCTCTCTCCAAAATCCTACCATAGCTCATAATTGAGAGGACATTTATTTTTCAAGCTGGGGAGCGTTAGACAATAATGCTTCTGTTTGCCTTGAAAATAATAAATATTTCAACCGGCAGTGCTGTTCTTTAACGGCTCTGTAACAAAGATAAAAATGGTGGTTGGCCAATTAGAAAACATTTAACACACTTTTAGTGTTCTATAATAAGTGAAATGGTGAGCCAAGCAGTGAGGGGCACATTCCTACCTGTGGCATTAAATGACGGAGTGTCAGCTTGTAGCACCAACAGGAATCCCCACACGTGGCTGGCTACGAGCTGAAATGAGTTAAAGGAAGAAACAGGCATCAGGATGAGGATCCGTCCAAGGCTAGGGGTGGACCCGTTCCATGTGGAACTAACTTCGCAATGCACTTTCCGCAGGAGTGAGCCTCACTTACAGTTTAGTCAGATTAGAAGATAACTGTGATTTTGTCCACATGAAGAAACACCCCATTTCCTGAAGCAGTGATTCAGCAGACTGTACTGGGCCGTCTTCCCATTTTTGTAATTTGGACTGTGATTGTGTCATCTTACGGTCATTTTTATCAAGGGGTGGACTGACCCGGTGTAACACTTTGCGGCAACTCATTGCTGACTTACTCCGTACACAGCCGCTTTTATTTATTTATCATTTTTAAGTTTTTTTTCCTTTATTGATTTTAGAGAAAGAGGAATTGAGAGGGAGAGAGACAGGAACGTCGATGAGAAAGAACATTGATTGGCTGCCTCCTGCATGCTCCCCACTGGGGATCGGGTCCACCTGGGCATGTGTCCTGACTGGGTATTGAACTGGTGCATGGGTTGATGCTCAACCACTGAGCCACACTGTACAGGGCCACTTTTAGAAAACAAAAGAAGAAATAGGGATGTAGGGGGAATTGTCCCATTTTCTAATTTAGCATCAGAGAGTCTTCTGGGCTTCTGGAGTGCAGCAGACCCCGAGAGACAGGTCACAGGTCTCTCTGCAGTTGTCAATGCCAAGTCTGCTCCTCAGCCTGGAGGAGGAGGCACATCTGCTTCCCTGGGATTGTTCTCTGTGCCTTCCCTGGAAGCTCCTTGTCTGAAGCTCCCTGCACCATGGCAACCCAGCAAGGGGCCCATTTTAATACATTTACTTTCTCACAATAGGATACCTAAAGCATAAACAAAGACTGCTCTGAAAATATTATTCTTATTTCTGCTTCTGATTCTTAACCCCTATTTAGGGACATAAGCTGTTTGTAGCTGTGTAACCCAGAATGAGTAAAAATGTCTAGGAGGAAAGGTGAAATAGGGTGAAACAGAAAGAGAGGGATTTCAGGGCTAAATACTTCGGTTTGACGAGCGCCTCTCCCCACCCCAGTGGCTGGGAGAAACTCAGATTGTAATCAGAGGGGACATGTCTTCAGTCACCACATCATCCTTGGCACAGAACAAGTGTCTGCCATATGACCCTCTGAAAAGATGTGTCGATTCCTTGAAGATCACCTGACATGCTGTGACAACCCCCAGGGAAGAAACTCAGGGAGTGCTACTTGCCTTCCTCTGCGGTGCTGGTGTGTGGGGGTAGAAACCACCCCTGTCTGTAAGTGCGCATCAGCCCTGCAGTGCCTGTGCTCAGACATGTCGGGGACCCACTCACCTGATAGCTGGGCGTTCAAGGAGACAAAGTCCGGCAGGAGTCCTTGAAGAGACAGCCAAGCCAGATTTTCTCTCTCTTTTATGTTCTCTTCACATGATATCTTTTCAATTCCTTATCTAACTTTGATTTATAATGACATCTTCAGGGGGGAGAGAACTCCAACAGACTATAGGTGTAAAAACACATGAAGAAGGAAGGCTGATGTAGCTGATTAGTTTGACTCCTTCTGCTTACTACCTTTTTATCATTTTTCTTTTTTCTTTTTGTACCGACAGGGTTTCAATCTTTGCAAATTGAGGCTGTAAGATGCTTAACTTTCTGACTGCCCAACTACAGCAGTGGTGACAGTTGCTCTGCTGTGGCTGAGCAGTTACTGAAAACTTATTTAGTGCACAGAACAGTGCTAATTAGTACATGAAGTGTGCAACTAAAATTGGCCTTGTAGAAGCACTACACTGTATTCTACTAATCTGGATTTCTGCATCCTGGGGACAAGAATCTTGTCTGCATTAGTCTCCCTATCAAAATACCAGGATTCCTTTAGTTAGAATTTTAGGGAGGCAGAGAAACACTTAGTCAAGAGTGATCAAGTGCATTAATTGTGAGTAAATGGAAATAGTACATAATGTTGGGACTTGATATAAATGTCCAGTTCTCCTGTCTACAGTATAGAGAGGACTTCAAGTCCCCTATGTCCTCCCCATGTATTGCAGGAGGGTGAACTTGAGATCTGATTCTGTGAACACAGGAGATACTGCTCCAGGGCTTACTCCCCAGCCGTTCTGGGATGAACTCTTATTTCCGAGTTCTTGCTTTTACTTTCTGCTTATGCATGGTTTATTTGATTAACTTTGTGACTATGTAACTTTCATTGACCTCTACAAAATGCTTATTGTTAATTTTTTATTTAACTGAAATAAAGAGCTGCTCTTGATCTTTTGCATAGAGCTATATAGTGTATAATCATGGTTTTAGTTATTTCCAAATCCGGTAAATATCTCTCCAGAACTTCAGACATATGTGTTCAAATGCCATGGGTCACTCAAACTCAGCCTGACTAAAACCGAGATGATTTTCTACTCCTACCTCCATTCCCAAACTGTTCAAATCCAGACTTGGCCACTTACTGGTGTGGCACTTGGGCATGTCCCTCGGACTCTCTGTAGCCGTGTCCTCACGTCCATAAGTGGATAAGAATAAGAACTACCTCATAGAGCTGATGAGGATGAATGAGTTAATATGTGTACCTTCACATAGGACACATTGGGTTAATGTCATTTTTCTTATTCTTTAAAGGATTATTTCCTTGGTGTTCTCTAACTTTGCAAACGGCACTACATTCATCCTGTGGCTCAAGCTAGAAACTTCAACGTCACCCTTAATTCCTCCCGCACCACCCCCACCTCCTATCAGTGGCCGAGTCCTGTGGACGCTACTTCATCCCCATCTCTGGGGTCTCACCTCTGTTCTCCAACCCCAGAGCCTGTATTGCTGCAGCAGCGCCCCCAGCAAAGGCTTCCCAGCCCACAATACCTTCTTCATTCCTGCTCGCTGCAGTCAATACAACACTACATTTTAAAAATGCAAATCGGACACAATATCATCCCTGCTTAAAACCTTTCCTTTCTCATCTTTATCTGTCCACTGTCTTTGACAAGGGACACAGAGGTCCACATCACCTGGCCCCTGCATTCTCCTTCCACCTCTGTCCTCCACGCTCCCTCTTGCCTCGCTTTGGGGTCTTTGCTGAGACTATTTTTCATTTCTAGTCTAAGGGCTCTTCTCCTTGCCCAATAGCTCCTTTCCCTAACCCC